GGCTGAGGGTTGGACATTTTGGCCCAGACAAGCAGCACCGATACCAGCAGGAGGGTGACCAGTAGAATTCACCTGTGCGGGGGGAGATGCTCTGTCAGGGAGTACCAAGGGCCCCCCCCCTCAGACAAGGTCACAGCCCCCCAAAACACCAAGGCCCTTCCCCATTGCTCCCCACAACGCAGCCCTAACAACGCCAAGCCACCCCCCCCCTTCAGCCAGGGCAACTGAAGACTCAGCCAGAACTATTTTTACTCCCCAAAACAGGAGCAGCTCTGGGAGGGGGAATAACAGGGGGCACGGCACCGCATTCCCGTGGCACTGAGGGGGCTGGAATTACTCCCCGCCTCCCCAGCTGCTCGCAGCATCCTCAGGATGGCACCCCACCAACCCACCCCAGCCCTGGCCCCACGCAGAGGGGGAGCCCTTAAACCAAACCCCCAGATCTCCACGAGCGGGTTAAAGCTGGGGGGCAGTGGGGGGAGAACCGCCTCAGGCCGCCATCTTCCCCTCAGCCCCTGCCCCGGGGAAAGGGATCACTCACCATGGGGGCCGAGCCCCTCCGTGCCGGCACCGTGGCTCCCGGTCGCGCTGATCTCGGCCGGTCACTCCGTCCACAAGCCACCCCAGGGCCAGTCCCCGGTGTGAGGGGCACAGCGGGGGGAGCCCCGGCCCCCCCCTCAGCCTCCCCCGACGCCGGCGGCCGCAGCACAGTTGTGCTCTCACACGTGACGGTAACGTCAAGCAGAAATATTTCCCTGTTAACGCGCCTGGAAAACTTCTGCTGGAGGGGAGGGTGTAAAGCAGCAGCAGGGGGGGGCCTGGGCACGGCTGGCCAGGACACCCGATCCTTGGGGGACAAAGGTGCCCTGGCCCCGTGCCTGGTCATGGGGACAAGGACAAGGTCCCGCACCCACAGCTTGGCCTCCTCCAGAGGGAGCCCCCTAAAACCAGCACCCCTGGCCTCACCTCGGGCACCCCCTCCCTCTCTGCATGTTCCTCCCAGTGTAAGATCACAGCACGATATAAACAAAGTAATTTTTATTTAAAACACAATTTGGCAGAAGAAAAAAAAACCAACCAAACAACAACAACAACAAAAAAATACAACACAGCCACAGAAAGTAAACTTCACTAGTGTTACCTATTGGAACAAATACCAAGGTTTACAGGGGTAAACCTTTATAAACCTTTACATGTATAAAAAAACCCCAATGACATTTCCAAACAAACAAGGCACTTCACTTCCTTTAAATTACAAAGTCAAGACGGACTGAAAACCCAGCAGTGCCCAGTCCAACCTTGCCTTCATCCTGGAAGTCCCAACAGTTATCTCCAACAGCAGCTAGAAACCTCGATTTGCTCCTACGAACGCAAAGCGCAGAACTCCCTGGTTTAAGATCTTAAAAGATCTTTAATTTGCAACCGTTGGCCCATCAGTTGGCAGATCTTCACGAACAAACCTGCTGCCATCGGCAGGTACCACAAAGTTCAGTTATCACAGCTCACCTAAGTGATTAACACACACAGAAGGAATTTAAAAATTTAAGGTTTGCCTCTCTAAATGCCAACAAAACCACTCAAGAGCATGATCAGAGCCTCGGTCGCAGTCTCCCCTCGGCTGCTGGGAGGGATTTACCCTGAAATCTTGAGAGTACAGGTACACCCAGTAACAGTTCTGACAGCGTATGGTCTTTGCAGTCCCAAGAGGCCACATTTCTGACAAATCTTGTCATCTGTAGCAAAAAGCTAAAACCAAAAGCATCTGCCTTTCTACCTTGGAGTCAGCTCCACACCCCCTGGACAAGAAATCTGGATTTGCAGAGCAGGAGGCAAAGAAATGGGAGGCACAGCAGAGTATTTACAAAAGGTAAACAGCTTCACCTGTAAGAAGTGACATCCCCTCACAAGAGCCTGAAAATATATTCCCACTACAACAACAAACACAAATGAATAGAGAACTCTGGTGGGGGATTTTCCTGTGCTTCAAACTAGGCTGAGACCTGTTCAAACAGCAGAATTGTCCATCTAACACTCCAATATGCTCTTTAAAAAAAAGCCATTTTTTTAAAAAAAATGTAACATCTCTGAAAGTTTGGTCATTTGTTCCTTGATCAACATCCAAAGACTAATTCTCAGGCCAACAAAAATTTTTCAGAAACGAGACGACCCCTGAAACTGGGGCTGTTTCCAACCATTAGACCCCACCAGCTTCTGCACAGAGCTCAGAGCGCTCGCCAGTCGATGGGCTTCTTGCCGGATTTCTTGAGCAATTCATTCGTCTTCGAGAAATGCCGACAGCCAAAAAACCCTCTGTTGACAGAGAGAGGCGAGGGATGAACCGTCTGCAGGACGTGGTGGCGTTTCTGTGAAGCGTTAGAGGAAACGGCCCGTTAGATTTGCATGTTTCCAGCTCCCTGGGCAAGGCTGGCTGCTTCTGCCCCACCAAGCAGGTGTAATTTCCCCTCGGCACCTCCTCAGCCACCAGCCTCAGGACACAAAGAACTGGCCCTGAGGACTGAGACTTTTACCCCACTGAGCAAAGGAGGATGGACTACAGAAAATAGCAGCCATGACCTGGCCATTTTTCAACTGCGGTCATCCTAACAGCAAATTTTATATTTATTCATAAGCCTTTTCCTAGAAAAAAAAAAAAACACAACAAAACAGTTCTGTCCTCAACTGGACACTCCTGACAACAGAAGGTTACACTTACTCCACTTCTGTTGCTTAATTCTGGCAAAGGCTAAGCTGGAACAGAAGGGCAACTGAATTTGACAGCAGAGTTCAAGCAGGGAGAAAACCCCAATTCTGTAAGGAAAGTGCCCTCTAGTGTCCACCCAACTGAAGAAAAAAAATAGAGGTAAGAGATGAGGAGGAACCTGTACCCTGTCAATGGAGCTGCCTTTCTTCTGGGCATAGGCTCCCCACAGCATGAAGACAACCCCATGCAAGTTCTTGTTGAGCCAGGACACCACCACGTCCGTGAACTGCTCCCAGCCTCGCTCCTTGTGGGAAGTGGCCTGGTGAGCTCGAACCGTGAGGACAGCGTTGAGTAGGAGCACTCCTAGCAACCCAAGCAGACACACAGAGGATGAAACAAACAAACAAAAAAAAATTTAAAAAAAAAAATCAAGTATTAGCTGCTTTCTCCTGCTTCACTAACCCTAAATTTTCAGCCTAAGGTACCTGCTAAGCAACAGGCACTCAAAACTGAATTATTTTTAAAAATTTTTTTGACATACGGACCGTTTCCAACCATGGATCTTTTTTCTAGCTAGGCTTCTTCACGCCCTGTAGTGGGCATGTTACTACAGTGTCTATTAACTCACCTTGTTTGGCCCAGCCAGTTAGATCACCATGACCAGGATGAGCAAAGTCCTCAATATCTGTAGACAGTTCTTTGTAAATATTTTCTAAACTGCAGACGGAAACATCAGAAGATTTTAAATGTGCATGTTTAAGGACCAAAGAGCCACCACTTACTGCTCTTACATTAGGCAAGAAGAATATTGATTTCAATCAGTTAAGATAATAAACCCATTTGTAGAAGCAGGATAACAAGGACCCGCCCCTTTGTGTGCCTGAATAGAAGCTTAATGAGGTCTCAGCACAACTCAAAATGCAAATTTATCTCCAGCAAGCTCTTCAGAATATCAAACTATACAGAATTATCCATAATTTTGCAGTGATTTTTTTTTCTAGGCAACACACAACTCAAACTTCAGTAGCTGCAACACACTTGCCACCACTTCCCTCCCTCACAGCCCGAAGTAACACAGAAGTGCAAATGATTTATAAACAAAGGGGATTTTGCAAACTGAGCACTGTCGTACCTGGGGGGAGGCGGAACAGGCTTCTGGACACTGAAACAAAGCCCGTGAGCTTGATTAGGTCCATGATATGGATCTTGTCCCAAAATGACAACCTTTACCTGAAAGCAGACCTTTGTTAGCACCGAGTTATGACCACTATTATTCCCAAAAGAGGGAAAAAAAACAATTTATAACTGATATTTATCCTAAAACAAGCACACAAAGAAAACCACAAAACACCAAACCCCAGTAACTGAAGTTAAATCACAAATTACTGACATCTCATCAAGAACACAGTCCCCACCTGACGCTAAGAATTAACGTCACCACAGCTTCGCTGCTAAGATGATGAAGATATTTTCAGCGCAGAAAACCACCATTTTCAAAGAGCCACAATAAAACACCTTGTGAAGGTACTTTTCAAACAAATTTCCTCACTTTTTACTTTTATGCCACACCTGCTGTGATATTTTTGACACAACTTATTGCCAATGGGATTAGCTTAAACACTGTCTTTTTTTAAAAATTATAGTTCATTACAAATCAGTTAAACAAGAGATGTATGAGAGCCAGAAAACAAGTCCTATGTTAGGATGGTCAACTGGAAGTAAGGTCAAAAGTCCAACTAAACTTTTAAAGGAAATTCTGTGACCAGGAGGGTAATAAAATAATAAAACCACATCTCAGTATCAGAGATGAAAGAGGAGCCAGGATTTCCAAGTTATTCGAGAAACAACGGCATCCACATCACATGGGTAGGATTGATCCTCAAGAGACCAAATGCTAAGTGAAGGTGTTTTTGTGTCCAACCACATGTTTTCATCGTTTTAAACGCACCAGCAGCTGGTCAGACGCTCCCCCACCCCTACTCACATCCCTGATGTCACACATCTGTGTCCAGGTGAAGACTTTGTCAGGGGGTGGATAGACCGTGTAGCGCTTCCTCTCTTCTGCTACAAATGCCATCAGCTGCAGGGGAAAAAGGGGGGAAAATGAGCGTGTTACCCAAAAAGCAGATTCGTGCCTGGCGTGTCATAACCCGATTTTAACACGCTCAGGAGACTTATTCTATTTATTCAGGCCTGTGCACTTCGTGGACTTTCCCACAAACCAAGCACCCCAACAGCAGGTGTTCATGCTCCTTTTATACACAAAGAAAATCAGAGGTTGGTACTTTTCCAAACACACCTGTTTGATACTGATTGGTTAGTGATTAACATGCAATTAGAATATGGCTTACATAATGATTTTACTACTATGCAGGCTCAGGGAAAGGGTCTTAACCTGGGCAAGGGGGGGTCTTTTTGATCTGTGGGTGTGTTTTTTGGTATTATAACAAAGGTAATTCACTTGCAGGACACTCAAAAGTGAGTTTCATTGCCGAGTTAACGAACCAAATAGTCACTTTGCCAAGCTGTCAAATAAACTCAGCACAATCCCAGACATTCTCTTAAGGGTTCATGACTTTTTACTTATTTTCTAGGGTTTGGAGACCAAAGCCTATTCTTTATGAATTTCTCCTAGCTCTTCCCCATACTTCAACGTCTCACTTGATCAAGCTTCGAGAGCTCGAAACTGTCCCCACATGGCTAATAACTGTATTCCTGGTACGACCAGTAGCCACGGCTACTAGCAAATGTGAAGTACACGGGAGGAAGGGGAGCGCCCGGGGCCAGCCGGCCTCGCTCACCTCCATGAAGTAGGGCTTCGAAAACTCCTCGCCCAGCTGCCGCCGCCAGCTCTCCCCGAAGCCCGGGGGCACGCTGCGCTCAGCCAGCCGCTGCAACGCCGCCTCCTTGTTCCTCCGGATCCGCTCCAGCTGCTCCGGGCTCAGTGGCGAGGCCTCGCCCGCCTCATCCCCCGACGCCTTGGCCTTCTTGGCGGCGCTGACCTGGGCGAAGAAGCGGCTGCATAGCGGGCGGAGGGCGGC